GTTTCTCACTCTCTCCCCCTTTCTCTGTCTCTGTAAAATCAATAAAAAAAATAAAATAAAATTACTAAAATCTGTGAGGTTGACTGGAGAGCAACACATCACAAAGGTTTACCGTGGTTATTCATATAGTGGGATTACAGAGTTTTTAAAAATTTTTTCCATCTGTGAAGTGAAATTATTGATGGGAAAGCAAGAAAGTGGAATTCTAGCATTGGCCTTGGGCCATAAGGTCTTGGACAAATCAGTTAGTCTCTCTGTGCCTCAATTTCCTTATCTGTAAATTAAAAGGGAACACCAAGATGATCATCAAGTTTATTTTCAACTTTCACATCCTGTGGGTATAGCTGAAAAGAAAGTTTAGCTTAAGGCAACCCTTATGGAGGGCAATTTTGGCACTGTGTCTCAAATTACAAATGCATGTAACTGGTGACCCAGTGATTGCTTTTCCAGAAATTCTTCCTATAGATACATTTGGATAGATGCAAACTGAGTTATATAAGGTTATTCATTACAGAATAGCTTGTGGTAGCTAAAAATTGGAAACAAGTACTTTACAGTTCACCAGCACCCTAACAGGTCAGTAAATTGACACATACACTGCTCTGGTAGGCAGCTATAAACACCTTTCAACATATACTTTTAATTTTTTTGAACTATGTGTCAGGGATATTGGCCCTGTAGGTACTCTGTGCCTGCTTCAAGTCAAAATTTACAAAACACCAAGATAAAGCAAACTATGACATTCAAAGAAACAATTAGGTAGAATAGCACAGAATTCAAGGACCTGGACAGTCTGTAAGAAAACTCCCTCAACCACTCACTCACTGGTTTGAAGCCCTGAAAAATCAGAATTGAAATGAAGGCAAGGCCAAATTTGCAGCTGACTTCCTTTGCCAAGAATGATGCACTAGAGCACGACCTATTTGTAGGGTGTGGTCCTCTGGATATCCGACTGCCCCTGCAGAGTATAATTGGCAAGGTTGAGAGTAGCAACAGTTTGACTTTGCCACCTTCCTTTGAGCTCATCATCAGAATCACTGAGGTCCCCTAGTGGCTGGCAGAGGAGGCCTGATGTCCAAGTTTGATAGTAAACATGAGACCACAAGAAGAGGGTGTGAACTAACACTACCCTCAATCTACCAGGCTCATGACCCCCACTCCAGCCCACCACTCCTGATATCAATAGGAAGTTGTTGTGATATGTGGATAGGGAGATGACAGTCTAAAGGAAGAAATAAATCTCTAAGTCTTCAAACTTGTAAAAGAGGCCTAATTTTCGCCCTGGCCCGTTTGACTCAGGGGTTAGAGCATTGGCCCACAGACCAGAGTCCTGGGTTCGGTTCCCGCTATGGGCACGTACCTTGGTTGCAGTTTGTCCCCGGCCCCATTTGGGGTCATGCGGGTGGCAGCCAGTCGATGTGTCTCTCTCACATCAATGTTTCTCTCTCTCTTCCCCCCTCTCTCTCTCCTGCTCTATCTGAAGATAAATGCAAAAATGTCCTCGAGTGAGGATAAAAAAAATCATTAAAAAAGGCCTAATTTTCTTAAGATGCCATTTTTTCTTTTTATGTGTGAAAAACTTAAAAAAAAAAAACGTTGACAAGGATAACGTTGTTTTATATTTTTTAAGTTCACTTAATGCCTGGCCTAATTAATACAGGACAGCTGGATTTTCCTACCTACTTTTTATTTTTTTTTTTGGTACGTGCCCCTAGCAGAAACCAAACCCGGACTCTCCGGTCCGCAGGCTGATGCTCCAACCACTGAGCCAAACTGGCCAGGGCTTCCTACCTACTTTTGCATTCAATCTTTTATATCACATATCATGCAGACTCTGAAAAACTCCACTGCAAACTTATGAGAAAATGAGAGTAAAAAATGTAAATAATATCTTACTATTGTTATGAAAATAATTTTTGCCTTGTGCAGTTTCTGACCCACACTTTGAGAATCACGACTCTAGCCTTAGGAATATACTGGAACTTTTCAAAACCCTCTACAGCAATCTCATTCCCCATATTTTCCTTTTACATTTTTTGGTTGGCCCCTTGTTTGCCTCAACTGGTATTGCTGTCAGGCAGCTATAGTGTTATGTTAAATAAGAGCCAATAATTTTTAAAAATGTTTTTATTGATTTTTTTTAGCGAGAGAGGGAGATAAAAAACATTGATGTGAGAAATATGGATTGATCAGCTGCCTCCCGCATGTACCCCACTAGGAATTGAGCCCAGGCATGTGCCCTGACTGGGAATCAAACTGGGACCTCTCAGTCCATAGCATGATGCTCAATTCACTGAGCCACACTGGCCAGGCACCAATAATTTTTTTTTAACAGAAACACTAGAGATAGGGCTTTTATCACTGAGTGAGCTCTCAGTTAGATCCAGACAAGTGCTGTGAATGGGGCTTTTCTAGGGAGTTGCAAGACAAATCAAATAATGACAATTCTCTGAAGATGAGGCTGTTGAGAGCTTCAAATCCAAATCCATTTCTACTCCTCCAAAGGCTGCTATACTGCTGGTTTTCACAGCTACCATGGTTGCAAGGTAAGACGTCATTTTTTTTCTCAATTGAAGAATTACCTATAAGAGAGTTTTTGCCCTGGCCAGTTTGCTCAGCGGTTAGAGCATTGGCCCGTGGACTGAAAGGTTGAGGGTCTGATTCCAGGTCAAGGGCATGTACCTGGGTTACAGGTTTGATTCCCAGCCCCGGTGGGGTCATGTGGGAGGCAATCAATCAATATGCCTCTTTCAGGTCGATGTCTCTCTCTCTCCCTCTCTCATTCCACTCTATCTAAAAACCAATGGAAAAATATCCTCCAGCTAACCCCTATGTTCATAGCAGCATTATTTACAATAGCTAAAATCTGGAGGACAGCCCAAGGGTCCATCAGTAAATGAGTGGATAAAAAGTTGTGGTACATATACACAGTGGAATGCTAAGCAACTGTAAGAAAGATCTCTTCCCCTTTGAGAGGACATGGAGGGATCTAGAGAGTATAATGCTAAGTGAAATAAACCAGTCAGAGAAAAACAAATATCACATGATCTCATTTATTTGTGGAATATAAGAACAAAATAAGCTGATAACAAAATACAGAAACATGGAAGTAGGGAAGGGAATGACAACCTAAGAAGGAAGTGGGTGGGGTAAGGGAAGAGAAAAAGCAAAACTTTTATGCATATATGCATAACCAATGGATACAGACAACAGTGCAGTGAAGGGTGGGGGCGGGATTGGGGTGAAGGGTATCAATGGGGAAAAAGGAGGGACATCTGTAAAAAAAAATTAAGAAAGTATTGGGCTTAAAAAAATAGTTTTTTAAAAAAAATAATTGGGGTCTGGCCAGTGTGGCTCAGTGGTTGAACATAGACCCATGCACCAAGAGGTCGCTGGTTCAATTCCTGGTCAGGATACATGCTCAGGTTGTGGGCCAAATCCTCAGTGTGGGGCATGAAGGAGGTGGCCAATCAATGTTCTCTCTCATTGTTTCTATTTCTCTCTCTCTCTCTCACTTCCTCTCTCTCTAAAATCAATAAAGGGAAAAAAAAAAAAAAGAATTGGGAGCTGTCCTTTTGGGCAAGATATTTAAAACTCTACTGTCAATCTTTCATCCTAAGGGATCTCATCCCTCTTAAAGAAAATGCCTTCCATATTCCTCCTAAAAAAACAAAGCAAAACAAAACTGGAAAGCTGTTTCTTCTGCTCCCTAAGACCCAAGAACCGTTGTCTTCCTAGCTTTGGCCCCACTGACCTGGACAGGATGTCCTGGACCTGGAGCCCAGATGGGGAAAGGTGGGGTGGGTTGATTGACACACGTGGCAAGCAGCCCAAATTAGGAATCTGGGGGTGAGGCAGGGCTGTACCCCAAACCTCTTGAGTTTTTCTTCTCAACACTTCATCACTTCCATTCTAAATAGCAAAGAAATAACAGTTGAATTTTATTAGGGGTAAGTAATAAAGTGACAAGTTTCTCACAATGATCTCCTTTTCCCCACCGTCCCTGGACTGACTAGGTGGACAAGCTGAGGTTCTCGCTCAGGAGAAGAGGCTCCCACTCATGGAAGGAGGTCTGGAATGCCTTCGGATTGTGCGTGTGAACAGGACTATATTTGCCAGGCCGAGCTCCCTTTCCCCAGATTTCCGGCCATTCAGGTCAAGAATAGACTGGGTGAACCTGGTTGGTGGTGCTGGGCTAGACTATCGAACGGAGAGGCTCAGCTAACCGGTGCGGACAGGTGGCTTCCGGGCGCGGCTGGGGTGCTCTGCGCGGGCTCCACCGTCAGAACCCCGGCGCCGGGGGGCGTGCGCGGCCCACACGGGACCGAAAGACTTGACAGATCGCAGAGAAAGAAAACAAAAAACCAAAACAAAACCCACCGGCTGTCCCACGTTTCTTGGCGAAGAAATCGTGGGTAGAACTCGGAGCCAGTGAGTAGAATTCTGCGAGGCCGCCTCCGCCCACGCAGCGCCCCCGGGGCGCGGCGCGGCCCCTCGGCCCCTCGGCCCCTGGCCCGCTCCACACCGCGTTAGGCCGGGAGAGGATGTCGAAGTAAAGCGAGCGACTCGCTCTTCAGGTACTTCCCGAGTACTCGGCTGTGCTCCTCTGTAGTAAACAAAGTGTCGCCGCCGCCTTCTCGCTGGTTTGCCTCCCAGCAATCAAACAGTGAGAAGGCGAGAGACTCAAAGAAACACTCGAGAATTACCAGAAAATAATAATAGATTAAAAAAGAGAGAGTGCGAGAGAGGAGAGACAGGGAGGGCGAGAGAGAGGGGGGAAGGGGAGGGAGAGACAGAAAGAGAAAGAGAGAAAGAAAAGAAAAACACCCCACTACCCCCCACCAACCCACTGCCACCTCCCGGTGGAAAACCGCCCCCGCCCAGGTCGGCATCCACTGGCTGCCCCGGCGGCGGTGCCGCGCGCTAATTGGCCGATCGAGCTGTCAGTCAGGGGCGGGCCGGCGCGCGCGCCGCAGCGGGCGGGGGGTGGCGGCAGATCCCGTAAGTCGGGCGGCCGCGTAGTAGCTGCAGCCTCCGTTGCCGCATCCACATTCAACAGGCAGCAGCGCCGCGGTCGCGCCGCCGAAGAGAGCGAGCGGCCCGCGGCGTCCGTCAGTTCTCCGGCCCGCGGGCCGTGTCAGCAGGAGCGCGGCGCCGGTGCTGCCTGGGCCCGGCGACCCTGGCCTGCCGTCCGGTCGGTGCAGCGGACCCGTAGGAGTCTAGATGTTGATGGACTCGTGAAGTTAAGTTCTGGGCTCGCGCTTCCACTTCGCCGCTCCTTCTTCCCGGTTTTCGTCCCCTCTCGGCACCGACTTCGTCCCCAATCTCTGACCGGCTCTTCGCGCTCCCTTCCCCTTGGCCCCTAGTGCTGCGCTCTACCCTTTCTTGGTTCTCCTGCGGCTGGGGGAGGGGCGGGGGTCACCATGGCCGAAGCGCCCCAGGTGGTGGAGATTGACCCGGACTTCGAGCCGCTGCCGCGGCCACGTTCGTGCACCTGGCCGCTGCCCAGGCCGGAGTTTAGCCAGTCCAACTCGGCTACCTCCAGCCCGGCGCCGTCGGCCGTCGCGAACTCCGACGCCGCCGCGGGCCTGCCTTCGGCGGCCGCTGTCAACGCCGATTTCATGAGCAACTTGAGCCTGCTGGAGGAGAGCGGGGACTTCCAGCAGGCGCCCGGCTCGGTGGCGGCGGCCGCGGCGGCGGCCGCAGTGGCTGCCGCGGCGGCGGCCGCCGCCGCCACCGGGGGACTGTGCGGGGACTTCCAGGGCCCAGAGGCTGGCTGCCTGCACCCGGCGCCGCCGCAGCCCCCGCCTCCCGGGCCGTTGTCGCAGCACCCGCCTGTGCCTCCTGCCGCTGCGGGATCGCTCGCTGGGCAGCCGCGCAAGAGCAGCTCGTCCCGCCGAAACGCGTGGGGCAACCTGTCCTACGCCGACCTCATCACCAAGGCCATCGAGAGCTCCGCCGAGAAGCGGCTCACGCTGTCTCAGATCTACGAGTGGATGGTCAAGAGTGTGCCCTACTTCAAGGATAAGGGTGACAGTAACAGCTCGGCGGGCTGGAAGGTGAGTGGCTTCGGGGCGCATGGCCAGAGCGGGAGAGGGGTTTCGTAGACCCCTATTTGCTCCTGAGGTCTCGGTGGGGCAGATAAGGGGCAGCTGTGGAAGTTTGCTTGTTCTGAAAGTGCAGGGCGCGGGCGAGAATTGGCCGATGTCGGTGGTAGGCTTACCTGGGACCGATTGGGAGACTGTACGCGCTCTCAAGTGAGAGTAGGAGTGGAATGGGGAACGTGCTCGTTTAAGGGAGAAAAAAGTACTCCAACAAGTGGACATAAGAGTTGGCAGAAAAGTTCGCCAGGGAAAGGAGAAGGGTTCACTGGGAGCTGCTCCCTTTCCCACAGCCTGCGTGGACTTTTGCGATTGCTCCTTAACTTCTAGGATCCAGGGGGTGAGGGCGGCTCCCTATGGGCCCAGGGCGCGCGACCTCCCAGCGTTGGACCGCGCCGGGGAGACGTTTCCGCCGCGCCGGGCGGGTATGGGCGCGGCAAGGGGCATCCGAGCCCGCCTGCAGGGAACGAGGCTTGCAGGTGGAGGGCATAGTCAGGGCGCGAGCCTGCCTATGGGGGTTGGCCGCGCAGTTTTTGGAGGACGATGTGCATTTTGCTTTGTTTTGATTTTATCTGAAGTGGCCCTGAATGCAGGGGACCGGGTACATCGGGCTCGAGGTAGCGCATTCGACGCGTACTATGAGGTGGCCACCGCCTGCGGAGCGGTGGTGCCGGCTTGCGCCGGGCGAGCTAAAGTTCAAGTGTGACCCTCTGGCGGGGGCGGAGGCGGGAGCTGGCGACAGCCTGGGAGGGGCCGAGGGCGCAGGAAGCTAGAGCCTTTAAAGGGCCAGCGCGGCTTTCGGCCAGCCGGCTGGGTAGCGCGGCCGGCACCAGTCTACGCAGGGAAGTGCCCGCACACTTCGCTTCTCCCGTGGTCCCAGACCTTTAATTAGACAGGGAGAGGCTCCTCTGGGTGACCTGTGCTGGGGACGTGTGTACCTTCTCTCTCACTTTGCCACTAAAGTGTTACAACTGAGCACCGAGGTACAGATCCGAGGGCCTCATCCTGACTGTAGGCACCATAATAAAAATAATCATAATCTTTACGTACAGCAAAATCTTTGCTGCACAATTGTTACACCGAAGTTGTTTTACATACACTGTCATTCCTGTGGTTATTGTGTGTCAAAAAGGTTAAGTTATTCACATTGTGTTGAAGTTCCTGGAGAAGGAAACAGGATTTTATTTTTTCCAAAGTGTGTTTGAGTAAAGTTATCATTTATAACTTCATTATTAGGCACCCCTGCAATTGACCACGTGTTTCAAAAAGGTAAAGTGACTGCTTAGTAGATTTACAATTGCGAGTACCGGAAACACAGAGTTTATTCTTGTATTATTACTTATTACTTATTGTATTATTTTCCATAAGAATAACTATAAGCCTACTTTTGCCCCACCTCTGTATTCTTTTAAGTCACAAAGTCGGGATTGTCAGCCAAAGCCAATTTTAGTTAACATATGCATTTAACTACTTATCTTAACTTGCTCATCTATCCATACTACTCGAGCTATGATAAAGCATTTGACATTAAAAAATATATTTTTACCATTTAAAGTACAGGGTGTCTTTTACATCTTTGTAAATGGATACAACCCATTTAAGCTTGCTGGAGTGCCTTTTTTTTAAAGGTGGAAAAAGGCAAAGTTTTGGAATTATTTTTAGTTTTGCCTCTCAAATGGTCTTAAGTCAGAGTATTATTCTTAAACTAGGAATATAACTTAAAGTTTAAGGTCTCATGCTTAGTAGAAAAATAGATGATAAAGCCAAATCATCCCTCAACCATTTTTTTAGGTTCTTGTTCTAATTTTTCCCCAAATGCAATTATGATTTTATTATTTTAAAAAATGTATGTACCAGAGGTAGCAAATCTATTAAGTATTAGTTAGGATTGTCCGTCCAGACTTGGAGGCCCAGTGACAGGTCCCAGTAGAAACCTAGTGGGTCTTTGAAGGGAGCAGGCTGCCATTCTCAAGTGAGTAAATGTTTCAGGTGTAATCAAGAGTCAGTTGGTGCAAGTCAGATTACAGCAAGTGCATTTTCACTTTGAGTAAAAGGGTATTTTAAGAAGAAAAGAAAAAGCATGAAGTGTTCTAACTCATAATTAGTCTTCTGGTTAGAGTTTTCATAAAAATGAGTTATTTGTTAAAACCAAGTTTCACTCAGATCTAAAAGATTCTCCTGTTTTAAAGATTCATGAAAAGGAGAAATTCAGTTCTAAAATGCAAATCAACCCAAACTTAACCGTTTTAGGACTGAGGAGGGGCTGCTTAGGAACACTTAAGTATTTCCTGTGATTTGCTATTGGGGATTAGACTGAATCTTTAATTAAATATAGTTTCATGTGTTTTACTTCCTAGGGCCTGCCTGAGTTTTGTAAGTCATTTGCATGTAGTAGTTGGGAAGCTGTTAAAGAGCTCATAAACTTCTAGTTCCTTAAATACTGGTTATGTTTTACGGACATGAATTTTGTATTTGTAGGGATGGTACCTTAAATCTGCTTGACACTTTTTTTAACATTGGCTAGAACTGTCATAAGGCTACACACAAAGTAGAAGCTAAGGCTTTTGAAAAATCTGGATCTTTTAAACCATGTACAGTATTTGTAAATAGTGAAACATCATTCCCATGACCTGTTTTTTTTTTTTTTTTTTTTTTTAAATAGAAAGCTCTTTAGAGTTTGGGAAGTAGTTTTGTGAGTTCTGCATCTTTTTTTTTAATGGCAGTTTTGAGTTGGCTCTTACTTATTTCTTTGATATTATTTGCAGCGCTTAATTTAGGTTAAAAGAATGATTCAACAAGACTCTACACATGTTAAGGGAAAATTTAAATTGTTTTATGAAGTAGTTCAGATAGTCTTCATTTTGGAATGAAGTTTCTATAATTTGGTCTGTGAACTGAGAATGTATTTTAAAATTAATAACTATTCTGTAATTTGGGTTTTTAAGCTGTAGGTGAGTAATTTAATTAGCCACAGAGATCCCTTCCACAGCAGGAAGATGGCTGATTTCTTGCTGCACAGTCACATTCGACTTAAAGAATCCTGGTGAAGCCAACTTCTTGTTTGTTATTGAAGTTACTTTAAGAAAAACCTTTTTTTACAGTTGGGCGAAAATTGCAATATATGTATTTGAAGGGAGCATGAGGAAAGAGTTAAAATTGGGTAATGATTATGCAGCCAAGTGTATCTTATTTGCTGGAGAATGAAAATTGTGTGAGACTGATGTGAACATGTCTTTTGATGAGCTATTTTTTTCAGAAATCCTAAAATAGATGCCAAGTATAAATATCTTAATGGAGACTCATAAGAACTTTATTTTTATTTTACCTATGTTTTTGTGGCAAACTCTTGGGGAGATGTGGCGGGAGGGGTGGCTTCTATTTTTGAATGATACTGAGCTTTTAAAAATCTTTGTTTTATCCTCGAGGACATTTTTCTATTTTTTGTTCAGATAGAGTGGGAAGGAGAGAAAGGAAGAGAGAGAGAGCGAGAGAGAGAGAGAGAGAGGAAGAGAGAAAGAAATATTGATGTGAAAGGGACACATCGAGTGGCTGGCTGTGTCCCGCACGACCCAACCAGGGCCGGGGACAAACGGCAAACGAGGCACGTGCCCTTAGTGTGAACCGAACCTGGGTGTCTCTGGACCATAGACCGACGCTCTAACTGCTAAGCCAAACTGGCCAGGGCTAAAAATCTTTTTTTTTAAGTGGCAAATATTTGAATATTGGAAAGAAAAGTTTAACATTCCTCATGTAAACTTTAAAAAAGGTTTAAGTTTGTGGAGACCTTCCCATAATTACTGAAAGGCTATCACATTGGCAGTGGACACCAATATTGTTAGATATCATGCACTGCACAGGGAATCTGAGTGCATATTTGAAATGAAGATGAGGGGAAATAATACTCTGTGGTTAGAATCCTCCCCAAGAGTCTGGAAAAGTTTTGCCTGTCCTTGTGCTCTTCATTCAGACTCCTGAACTGCAATTCTGCAAGACTGTCTTTTTTTCTTTCATTTCTGAGAGCGAGAAAGAGAAACATTGATTAGTTGTTGCATTTATTTAATGTATTCATCGACTGCTTCCTGTATGTGTTCCTGACCTGGGATCAAACCTGCAACCTTGGCTTATCAGGATGACACTTTAACCTGGCCAGGGCCTGCATGACTTTCTGAGAGAGCTGCTGTCTGTATTTCTTTGGGAAGCTTGAACTATTTGGATTTTTCTGGAACACTCTACCCTTGGAAACTACCCAGTACCCTGGCATCATGGGATTTACTTGGCTGGTTTTTTTTGGTGTGTGTGTGCTGTGTGGAATACTTTTGGGAAGGCAGTATAAACCCCATGGTGATTAGAGAGAGCAAAGGAGTTTGCAAATGTAGGGAGCATCTGTGAGCAGAGTAGATTCAGTCCTTCTCTGCAGTTTAAAATTTGCCTTGACCTTCATAGGAACAACTTGCAGAGACTTGCCCAACCACCTCCCTGCCCCCCACCTCCTTGGGTTGGATAACCACCTCTTTTCTGTGTATACAAAATTCTGAAGTTGGTGTGGTTGTTCTCAACTGTGAAACAGAGGAACAGATGAACTTGAAAAATGTTTATTTTGGTGTGTGAGGGATGAAGGTTTATGTCAATGGATACACTGTGTACAATGTATTAAAGTGTGGAAGAAGTCTCTCTTTTTGCTAATTCCTGATAAGGACTCACAAAACTTTTCAGTGGCACAGAAATTCTTTGCAGAGAATTACTCCTTGTTATTTGTGTTCTTCTAAGGAACATATGAAACAAGGTAATACAGTTTTATCCGTTGGTGATTTCATATAGTTCAACCTTTTAGAAAAAAACAAAACAAACCAAAACCCTTTTCACTGGCATTTCATTTTACTCTGCTCATTCTACCTGTGGGTTTATCAGTCTACCTGTGGGTTAAAGCACTCTAAATACTGAGTTTTAGGTAGAGTTAT